TTGTTATCCCACACAGCGCCCTTCACCTCCGAAGAACCACCTTCGCCCTTCCTCCTCTGCGCCCATAGGCAGCCCGGCTATGGCCACCAGCGCCCTACGCCCAGGCAGCGCCCTCCCGCTTAGCGCAGCCTGCCTCTGCCTCAGCCTAGCGCAGCCCAGAACCTCCCATTCGCGCAGCGTGCCAGCATTGCCCACAATTGACAAGATCCCTGCCCACTCGCCCTCTCTGCCTATATGCCAGTGTTGCGTGTGGGCGGCCTCCCTTGAGCCTGCACCTGGGCCCCAGTACCTGTACCCAGGCCCAATGCGGTTGGGGCCCACGCAGTACAGTTGTGCCTCTTTCATCCAGGCCTGCGTCCAGATTCAAATAATGGCCCGGTATCCCATTGGCATTTTCGGCCTCTATTTCCAGTATGCAATGTCGGCCTCACGTTTATGTGCCCACGGCCTAACCAACTCTGGGGTACTGGGATTTCTGCATTTGCAGAGCTCCGATACTTGGTGCACACCAACCAATTGGCGTGCTGCAACTGTATGGACCCCACTTCGTGAAATGTTTGCATAGAGGGCTCTTGTTGATTTGCTGGCCCGCCTTCACTTAGGGCGGGCACGAGGCGTGCTGGGGCCTTAGCCCAGAACATGTACATCATGGCAAGGCCCCTTCTTGAGGGCTCAATTCTCACATTCCATCCCCCTTAGCTTCGAAAGTCCGCTGAGATGCTTACTTCTGCCACCACCTGAGGAACTGTCTCAATACGTTCCTCTCTGGTAAACCACCGATCTTCTTTTGGATCCGTATGATGCCTGGATCTGACGCGATACTCTCTCTTGGGTTTAGGAGGTCTTCCTCGACCCAACGGCTTCGGAACAGGCATATCCCTGTGATCCACAATGTCGTCGATGTCCACTTGACCATCCATGGTTGGGGGCAGCATCGATCTCCTTGAAGGGAATTGATCTGTCTCAGCGAAAGGTGCAAGCTTTGAGGTATGAAAGATAGGGTGAGTGCGTAAGTGACCAAGCATACGGATAACAAAGGTAGGACCATCCATCTCATCCCCAACGATATCCAGGACTTCCTATGGACCAAAATACTAAGGCATTAGTTTACTAGAGATTCTAAATTCCTGTCCTAGCTCACTAGCCTTGACCCAAACACTTTCCCCTACCTGAAATGAGGACTGCTGACGATGTTTGTTCTCAGAAGCAATCATTGCTTGCTGAGCTTTCTTGATGTGCTCGACAGCTTGCTGCAGCAACTTCTCATACTGCACACCATATTCAAGTGTGCCGGGAGTTGCAGAGGATCCATTTTCAGGTAGGAGGAAGTCCAGAGCTGATCTAGGCTTCCATCCCAAGTGCGCCTGGTTGGGACTAACGCCGGTACTGCTGTGTACAGCGTTGTTGTATAGGCTGGCGATGAGAGGCAACTTCTCATCCCAGCCATTCTGGCTGGGCTTGATGTAATGCCTCAGCAGATGTTGTACAACTCTGTTCATCTGCTCGTCCTGTCCGTTGGCTTCGGGATCATTCCCTGAAGTCATCTGAAGTTGACTGCCCATCTGATCAGCAGTCTTCTTCCACAGCTCACTTGTGAAGCGGACATCTCTGTCACTAACCATTGACTTTGGTAAACCAAAATTACGCACCCAGTTGACCATGGACAACTTGATGACGTGGTCAGTCCTTGCGGTCTCTCGCACAGCAATTAGTCTAGCGTATTCGGTGGATCAATCAATGATGACAAAGATGTGCCTATTGCCACTCTTACAAGTCACCAAGGTGTCCATGAAGTCCATGGAAACACTCTGTCCTGGACCAGCGGGGATAGGCAAGGGCTATAGCAACTCAAGCGGTGCTTGAGTTCGCGGCTTGTCCCGCTGACAGACCTGACAGATCTCTACATAATTCTTTGCGTCATCTAGCATTCCAGGCCACCAAAATTGCTGTACTAGATTGACACTCGTCTTTTTGTAGCCGAAGTGTCCAGTTGTGTCGTGACATTCCCCTGGAACTGCCAACCTTTTACATCCGGCCTTATCAAGAAAGAGTAACCCATCCACAATCACAAACTCAATTTCTGTGGCCTTTTCTTTTGCCTGAAGTTTGCGTATGATGTCCATCATGACAGTGTCTTCCTGATAGGCTCCCACCAACGATTGAGTTACTTCCTGAGATACACCAAACTCAAAAACTAGCGCCCCTAGGTAGTCTGCTCTACGGGACAAAGCAAGAGCAGATAGCACAATGGAACGGAGTAACCATCCATTTGAGAACGATACAGAAGAATCGTGAGTCAATGTCCAACCCCAATCGGGCAACACCAACAGCATAACCCAATGTAGCTCTCTCTCTCTTGAATGGCGCCTGGCGCCCTACCTACTCTACAGCCTATCACTACGACTACAGCATGGAAGCAACCAGACAACTTGACGACCAGCGAGTGATGATGTCAACACCAATGTCGACTTCCTCTCCACCAGGTACGTCCCTCTCTTCTCCCTCACTCTCCCTTGTTATCCCACACAGCGCCCTTCACCTCCGAAGAACCACCTTCGCCNGTACGTCCCTCTCTTCTCCCTCACTCTCCCTTGTTATCCCACACAGCGCCCTTCACCTCCGAAGAACCACCTTCGCCCTTCCTCCTCTGCGCCCACAGGCAGCCCGGCTATGGCCGCCAGCGCCCTCCCGCTTAGCGCAGCCTGCCTCTGCCTCAGCCTAGCGCAGCCCAGCACCTCGCATTCGCGCAGCGTGCCGGCATTGCCCGCAATGGCCAAGATCCCTGCCCACTCGCCCTCTCTGCCTATATGCCAGTGTTGCGTGCGGGCGGCCTCCCTTGAGCCTGCGCCTGGGCCTCAGTACCTGTACCCAAGCCCAATGCGGTTGGGGCCCACGCAGTACAGTTGTGCCTCTTTCATCCAGGCCTGCGTCCAGATTCAGCTAATGGCCCGGTATCCCATTGGCATTTTCGGCCTCTATTTCCAATATGCAATGTCGGCCTCATGTTTATGTGCCCAGGGCCTAACCAACTCTGGGGCATTGGGATTTCTGCATTTGCAGAGCTCCGATACTTGGTGCACACCAACCAACTGGCGTGCTGCAACTGTATGGACCCCACTTCGTGAAATGTTTGCACAAAGGGCTCTTGTTGATTTGCTGGCCCGCCTGCACTTAGGGCGGGCACGAGGCTTGCTGGGGCCTTAGCCCAGAACATGTAATCCTCACAATAACCGTTGCGCACCACAAAAATAACACGGACCACTGCTTGCGCGCCGTCAAAACCGGTACCATGGCTGCCCCGAACACCATCGCCAGATCACACACAACAAACTGCCTCCACTGTGACGCAAAAGACCCGCAGCATCTTCCCTCACAATAATGCTGCCGACGTGCCGCAACATAACCCCGAAAAAAATAACATCGATACCACTGCCCATCTCGGCAGCATGATCCCACCGAAAAATGTTGCTGCCACCGTGCCAAAAAAATGGTAGCACTTCCCCACTTACAACGACACTGTCGCCGTGCCAAAACAAACGGCAGCACTTCCTCACTGACAACGTCGCTGTGGCCGTGCCAAACCGGTAACGCTTCTGCACCACTGCCAAAAAAATCACACCTGCCGCCGAAAAAGTTAAACAACGCTTCCGCGTCACTGCCAAAAAATCACAGTTGCCGCTGAAAAATTCGGTAGCACTCGCATAGTACGTCAACAAAAAAATTGTCGTCGCCGCAAAAAACGCGCAGCATCTCCTCAGCACTTCTCCAATTATCGCTGCCATGTGCAGTGTAACCCTTACTCCTTACAGAAAATGGTCACCGACGCTGCGTTGAACGAATAACACCTTCCCACCACCTCTCCAACTATGGTTGTCGTCGCCGTGATGGCCGCGCAACACCTCTCCAGCACTTCACAAAGTGAAGTGGTGGCTATGGCTGCCTCCACTTCCGCGCCCACTGCAGACCCCGAATTGCGCGGCTTCACAGTCGCACGTTATTATTTTAGGAAGAATAGGTCTAGCTCTACCACTTTCATGCCCGCACTCCTCTGCAGTTCGACAAGAGCGGAGCACTGCCAACTACTATCGTTACTCCCGGACGCCACACGCGTTCAGACTAACGTTCAAAAACTTTTAATCTCTTAGTCATAGGTCAGGTCTGAAATAACTTTTGGCCAACGTCAGTCCCATCAAGTCCTTCTATTCAACGAGGGAGTCAGACAGCGTCTGACGTTGGAAAACCCCGACAAATACCCTTGTCAGGGTATTTGCCCCGACAGCATTCCCGGACCGCATTGAACGACGTCCCCGTCCTTCACCATAAAAAAAAGGAAATCAGGATCTTTATAAAAATTCCATGTGAAAGCAACAATGACAATACACAACAATTCCAACAATTATTCGGTACTAAGCCGAAACGTTTTCACCAATTTACAACAGTACAACAACAAAACTGGATTTAGCCTCCAAAAGCCTTCACTTAATACAAAAAACTGGATTTAGCCTCTAGAAGCCTTTACTGAATACAAAAAGCTGGATTTAGCCTCCAGAAACCTTAAATCATTACAAATCATATGTGGATGGAATGATACCAGATATTGCCTCTCGCAAGCCTTATCAAAACTTGGACCCAGGTCTAGCCCCTTGAAGCCTTCAATTTAGAGGAACTTTTTCAGAATGATGCCAACATCATCCCACTGGCCACCACACAAAAACATCATTTAGTATCTCAGAATGGTACCGGAAATGCTTCCGGCTAGCCTTCAAACCCCCAATTGGTTAACACATCCATTTATCTAAAAGAAAAAATCAGGTTTAACCCCCTGACGGGTCTTTCAAAATAATTAACCTCTTGGGGGGCCCAGACAAAATCTGAACCAACCATTCATGAGAGAAACCATTCGTCCAAAGTTCCCCGACCAAGTTCTGATCCTCATTCCAATTCACATAAGTTATCATGCCCATTACTTCCGAACCCCTTGTGAATGCGTCGAGGAGTGGTGTATTCCGTATAAGGATAACATCTCGACATCACGCCCCGCTTTAGATTCGAGTCACACCACGTTCCCTCCGATTCCGGTGTTTTCGACCTCATTAGTCGCCCATGCTTCCGAGGTTGGCTACACCCCTGTCATAGAGGTCCAGTGCCCATGCTTGACACGAGGTTAGGTAGCCACTCCTCCCCTTGCGGCAAACGATAGTCGCCTACCATATAAGCAACATTCTAACAAAATCTCAACACCTTCGTCCCTTTCAGTGATAGTGTAGTCTTCCTTCCTTAAACCACATAGCTCCGGAAGACAACATCCCACTATGAACCAGGAGCACAACTCCGTCGCGGGACTCATTACCACCTACAGAGCTCACAAATCCATCAGAAATTTTTCGTGACATGATAACGCCTTTGTAGGAAGATGAGCGATAGCGAACTTCGACAATCAAACAACATCATACATATGAGTCCAGATAGTCTTGACCTCGAACCAATAGCAGAATTGCATCACGAGATTCACCAAATAAGAACACACCAAGAGTTCATAATTGACAATGCTGAAACAAAGCCATCATCATCAACGAAGAACCAGAGTTGATATCCTATCTGGCGCTCGACACCCAGACTACACGTGGCAGATCCTATCTAGCCTATACTACGATGCCGAAAGATGACGTCAACAACATTCCCAAAGTACGAGCATATGGCGACCAATGACGCACGCTTCCCGCACCAGGTATGTCTCTCCCTACACTCACAACCTCATTCCCCAACGCACAGATGCCACTAGGCGGCTTCTCCAACCTCCAGGTCCGCTATGGCGGACTTCTTCTCTCGGCGGCCACCTCAGCTATGACGCATCACTCTCCTTGCGACACACAACACTGCGCATGGAATAGCGGGTACCAGCTCTGATACCAATGGAGTCAGACTCGCTTTCTTTCACACTTTACATGCATGCAAACAGCAGCGCAGCAAACTGGCGACATGCGCCCACTCAGTACTCAGAGATATGGCAACCCAGATACGAGTTCACTTCCAATGGTTATGGCGACACAGCGCCCATACAACTCTCTGTTCGCATACAATGGATCACCCTGGATATCCCACACGCGACTCTTTGAACACACACACACACACACTGAACCCCAACTACAGCTATGGCAGCTATGGCCGCCTCTACCCTATCGCTATGGCTAAGCTTCGTCTCTCTGCCCACTTCGTCTTCAGGCTCACTGCAGACCACCTCGCACAAGTCGTTGTGGCAGCGCTTCCGCATGGCTCCCGCAGGGATGAATGAATGGCTGGGCGCTGCCTCTTGATTTATACTTCTTCAGTGCATTGGTCTGGCCCTTTCCCATGCCCAAAATGCACACAGTCCCATGCGGTACTTGCTTGACTAGACCAGGATTGACTGGGGAATGGGACTGTTGACTCAGCACGGGTAGACTCCACCACTTGCCCACTTGCCTCGCCACTTGCCCACTTGCCTCAGTCTAAACGTGGGCAACTTCGAAAGGCCACTACTTGGACCTTCCGAAAGGCCGTGGACTTGGCCTTTTGTGACTCTAGCAGCTACGACCTTGACCCTTCTGGACTGTAGCAGCTACGACCTT